CTTCATTTTTGCTGTATTTGTGTGGTATTTTTGCTGAATGTTTGTGTAAAGTCCTTTGTATGATGACTTTTCTTTCTGTGGTCGGTTGCCTTTTCAACCCGACGCTGTCTCTTGTTTGATGTGAGCGTGCCGTGGTGTTCTTTATGTTCGTGCTGTGATGGCTAGTAGTTGTGATATGTGTGACTCCCTTTTTGTGTGACTTGTGGTTAAAATGGCCGTATCTCTGGTTATACCTGGTCGTTTTGTACGATTTTTGTTTCCTTGTGCGTGATTCTTCGCGCTTGTACTCCTCGGCATGATAGGAGCCGATGAAAATGTCTTGTTCTCTTGTGTTGTTTTGCGTGCCGTCGTGATTTTGATGTCGGGGTTGCACAGCTTTGCTTTCAGCTCTGAGGTTCAAACACCTAATTTATTATCAGGATTGAGTAGATAAGGCCTCGCCCGATCAGGCTCGTTCGAAACAGGCCTGGGTCGACCAGCCTCGCCCTCTCGAGACCCTAGTAGATCAGGCCCGTATCAATCAGGCCCACACAGATCAGGTCCGCACCGATCAGGCTCGTTCGGAACAGGCCCGGGTCGACCAGCCTCGCCCTCTCGAGACCTGAGTAGATCAGCCCCGCCCTCTCGAGACCTGCAAAGATCAGGCCCGTATCAATCAGGCCCACACAGATTAGGCCCGCACTGATCAGGATTGAGTAGATAAGGCCTCGCCCGATCAGGCTCGTTCGAAACAGGCCTGGGTCGACCAGCCTCGCCCTCTCGAGACCCTAGTAGATCAGGCCCGTATCAATCAGGCCCACACAGATCAGGCCCACACCGATCAGGATTGAGTAGATAAGGCCTCGCCCGATCAGGCTCGTTCGAAACAGGCCCGGGTCGACCAGCCTCGCCCTCTCGTGACCTGAGTAGATCAGGCCCGTATCAATCAGGCCCACACAGATCAGGTCCGCACCGATCAGGCTCGTTCGGAACAGGCCCGGGTCGACCAGCCTCGCCCTCTCGAGACCTGAGTAGATCAGGCCCGTATCAATCAGGCCCACACAGATCAGGTCCGCACCGATCAGGCTCGTTCGGAACAGGCCCGGGTCGACCAGCGTCGCCCTCTCGAGACCTTAGTAGATCAGGCCCGTATCAATCAGGCCCACACAGATCAGGCCCGCACCGATCAGGATTGAGTAGAAAGGCCTGCACCGATCAGGCTCGTTCGAAACAGGCCCGGGTCGACCAGCCTCGCCCTCTCGAGACCTGAGTAGATCAGGTATTAAAGGTATATGTCCAGTACAGTGTAATGTGTGTGGACAAGGCGATTGTCACAGAGGTATCCAACCAATCGAAGTGCATACGATAACATGGATTGAAGCAAGGCGAAGGAACAAGACAGAACAAGACAGAAGGAGGGAAGTGGAACGACCGAGGTCAAGAAGGAAAATGGTACCGATCCAGGGAGATCGCTCCCATTTATAGCAGGTGGAAACACACACACACAGTGGAGACAGAGAATGGACTATCACACTGAAGACAGGTGGAAGCGATATCAGCAATCTGTTGGGACCAACAGATGCCACAACAAGATGATACACCAAGATGGTACAGCAAGATGTAC